TTTTTTTTTTTCGATGAGTTTTAATTCGATTCGAAATCTAATGGAAACTTTGCGCTCGATCCTTTTGCACTTGTAATTTTTCTACAACGCGACTTTTTTACAATAATTTTCGAAATTTGAAAAATTAAAAATTGTAAAATGTAGCATTGTTTTGCTAGTTGAAGAATTAAAAATTGTAAAATGTAGCGTTGTTTTTCGAGTTGAAGAGTTAAAAATTGTAAAATGTAGCGTTGTTTTGCGAGTTGAATTAAATTAAAAAATGTAAAATGTAGTGTTGTTTTTTTAATTCGATTCGAAATCTAATGGAAACTTTGCGATTTTTACGAATATTTCATGATCCTTTTGGACTTGTAATTTTTCTACAACGCGACTTTTCTACAATAATTTTCGAGTTGAAAAATTAAAAATTGTAAAATGTAGCGTTGTTTCGCGAGTTGAAGAATTAAAAATTGTAAAATGTTGTTTTGCGCGAAGGGACGTATGACGTGCGGATATTATACGATTATACGATCGTTAATTTAACTTAAACTTGGGGCTTTGAACAATCTGGGAACGGAAGGATTGTTAGATTATCCAAAGTTTCGAGTATCGAATAACGAATTCAACAACGGCCAAGCAACAACGAACCCGCACGTCGATCGAACGTATCCTAAATTCCAATTTGAATAGCCGAGTCAAATATTGGATGATCAGTGCGTTGAATATTCGAACATTGTATATCACCGATAAAGAACGTTTATCCACGGTCTATTATTGGAGTAGCTTGTTTGACAAACATCAGTTGTCGGTTATCCCAGGGAATTCCCTGCAGATAACCGAAGAAACAGCAACTGCGGATCGTGTTAGGAAATCACGACGCGGATATTTTGAAGAGAGAGAAAGAGAGGACTAAAAAAATTGCATAACGTGTTTGCAAATCGATTTTCCTGTGTGATTCATAAATATTATTCCTCTAAAGTTCCATCGGTATCGTCTCTGTGTGTTCTTTTCCGTTCTAAAAATTATAAATTAATAGTATTTTTCCTTCTTCTTTTCTTTTTCTTTTATCATCGTAATAATTTCTCGTCAATTTTTAATAAAATCACGTTCAATTTTTTTTATATAATCAAATGAGACGTACATATTTATACGTGTAAATTTGTTTCTCAAACAATGATCCTTTCGAGAAAAAGGATTAAAGAGCACAGCTATCCTGTGATATCGTAGAGGCCGATAACTGGGAAAAAATGTAATAATATATAATAAAAATGTAAGATGGCCGGTATGTGGCTGTGCATAAAATGATAAGGGTTGTAAATCAAATTACGAATTTGATTGTGAAACGTGTCGCGTGGATAAAATAAGTAAAATTAATCGGTTTCGTGATTCGAAATAGAGAACTCGCGTTTCTTTTTTTTTTTTTCTTTTTTTTTGATCTGACGACATTAAAGAATTCATTAAAAGCCGTATACGAAAAAAAGCAGGATTCATTTCCCCCTTTTATCCGAATATATCTGTACCCAAGACCAAATAAACACTTGTATTTAAATTTACGATCGCATCAAAATTCGATACGATCCGTTCGGTTCCCTTATAACTTCATCGCGTGCCACGATGAAATAATATTAACGCGACATGCGAGCCGGGATGAACGTTTTGACTGATAGCGATTTTCGTTTCTTCGTATCTCTGATGCTCGCACGGAAGGCGAAGAAAAAGAAAAATTATTCCGGGATAATTGCGTTATGGCGGGAAAAAATGAAGGGATAACGATCGAAGCGAGCACCGTGTCACGCATCGACGCGTTCGTTTCGTAAATATATAATCCCTGTAATTTTTAATTCCCTCTGTTTCATCATTTTTATTCGATTTGTTTCGCTTCGAAGCGAGACTCTGGAATAATTTTAAGGAAAAAATAGTATTGTCAAGCCAGAAAGAGATTAAGTACTACATACAAGTTATATCTCTCTGTTTTGACAACTTTGATATATATATATATATTCTGAATTAAATCGGTAAATTAGTGGTTGCGCCACGAGAGACTTAATCGTCGCGCGATTATAATCGTATTTTTATGTAGCGAGTAAAAATTTAAATAATTTT